ATTTTTAAACAAAATTCATTTTTTTTTTTATAAATTTTTTTTTAAATTGTTTACATATTTGATTCTTATATTAAATTTTTTTAATTAAATATTACAATATTGCTATTATTTTGTTTTTAAATTCAAAAAATTTTTTTACTGTCCATTAATTTATTATAAAATGTATAATTTTTTTTTTTAAGTAGCAAACTTATGTATTATAATACTATTATTGTTTCTAATTTATATTATTAAAATGTTGCAGCTTTTTTACTCCTAAATTTTTATATTGCAAAACTATATATAGTCAAGAAAAAAAACAAAATACAATAATAAAAACAAAGCGTTAAATCTATTAGAGGATTCTTCAATATTGAAAATGTTTTCATAAAAATTAAAATTTTTTACATTTTAATTTAAAATTACAAGATTGAAATTACCAGAAAAAAAAAAAACAAAATACATTTATACTATTTTATTATTTAAACTAAATTTTATACATTCAATTTACTCATTTATTTATTTATATTTCAAAAAATTTTATTTTTAAAGTAAGATTCTTAAAATTGAAATTAATAAAACACATTCATATATAATATAATTTCAATCCTCTATGATTTTTCACTTTTATATAAAATTTTCTTTATATATAGGAAATATTAAATAATTATTTCTTTAAAACATATTTAATTGTGTATAATTAATATTCTTTTTATTCAGCTTTTTATTATTGTTTTCATTATTCTTTTCTATATATATATATATATATATTTTATTTAATTATAGTTAATTTTTTATATAATTCAATATTTAATTTAATTTTTTAATTAAATTTTTTATACATATTTATCATTATTATCAAATATTTATTATTGAATCTTCCTTTTTCTTTGTTTATTTTCAGGACAAAGCTAAATTTATGTGTAAAAAAAATAAAGCGTTGATAAAACAAAATTATATATATTTTAATTTTAAAAATTTTTGATTTGTGTGTAAAACTAAAATAAAAAAAAAATTAGTATATTATATATATGTATGTATAAATAATATATTATATATTATTTTACATATTATATAAACAAAATACAATTTTTTTTTTTTTCATAGTTTTGTTAATTTATTTTTTTTTTCGTGAAATAGTTTTATATATTATAAATGAAATTTTCATCACAAAAACATGTTTTTGATCGTCCTTTTTAGATTTAAATTACAATTATAGATTTTTTAATTTATTTAATTATTATTATATTGTTGTTTTTTCTTTTTAATTTCAGAAAGCAGAATACTAAAAATATAGTTTTAAATTTAAAAAAAAAAAAAAAAAAAAAACAATCTTCAGTTATTTATTTAAGCAATTTTTATGTTGAGAAAAAGTAAAAAGGAACAAATTAATAATTTTTTTTTTTTAGTTTAAAAAAAATTTAAAGCTAATTTGATTTGTTTTTTCTTTTATATATAAAAAAAAAAAAGAACAATGTTTTTAGTTTACTTATTACAACAAGCGTTTAACCTGGTTTTTTTTTTTTAATACAATTTCAATTTGTTGTTACTTAAATTCATTTGATATTGACTTCGTAATTACAAGAGTACTAAATATGTAATTTATCATTTTGTTAAATAAATAAAATTAAAATAAATTTTTATATAAATAACTTGAAAAAAAATATTCATTTTTTCTAAAATTTTCCTCGATGTTCAAATGATATTTCGGTGATATTATTTAACTAGCTCGATACAAAATGATATATTTCAATTGAAACGAACTAGTTTATTAAATTTTTTTCTATTTAAATGTAAAATAATTCACAAAATTTAACAATATAATTACAAAACATATTATTAACATTTTTATAATAATAATAATAAAATCATATATAATAATCAGATTAAACGCAATATTAAATTATATAAAAACTGAAAAAAATCAAAGTGCACTAAAGTGATTTTATATTATGCTAAATATTTCGCTTAAACTATATAATATAATTTTAATTTATGTTTTTATTTCATTCCATTCATTTTGTGTTAAAATTATAATATATAATTATACTATATGATAAAATTATAGTTTTCTAAAAATTAAATATTTAATATTTTTATTTTTTGATTTTTAATTTTTTATTTTGGTATAAATAAGCTATAGTATAGCTAAAATTTTCATATAATTTTTATTATTTATTTAATTGATCAATAAAATTTTTGTTATTTTTTATTTTTATGTTTTATATACAAATATTTTAATTTTTTAATTTTTATTTTAATATTTAAAATAATGAGTTTTAATTAATTTTTGTCATTTATATAATAAAATTTGTTGTGAAATCATCCAATTAAATTCATATATTTAAGAATAATTAAAAATAAAAATTAATATTCTTTGTTTAGGGAACAAAAAAGAGCTACAACAATAAAATTATTATTTAATCTTTTAGTTTTATTTCGAAAAATTAATTTTTCATTTTCTTTTCATTTGTCATAAATTTCCCATTTGAATTAATTGAGTAATATTATAATAATTAATTCCTATTAAAAGTTAACATAAATTTTTTTTTTTCTTTCATTTTTGATAATCCAATAACAAATTTTTATTAATTTATTAAAAATTTCAAAAATAAAATCTTATATACATTTTAATTTATTAAGCTAGAAACTTCATAAATATATAAAATAATAAATGATATAAGAATATATTTCATTTTTTTTATTATTATTTTAAATAATTATAAATCAAATTTTAAATCATTTTTAAGTTGCTCATCAAATTAATTAATGGTTTAAGTTCCGTACTAATATAAAATTCTCTCATATAACAAAATTCGGTGACTATATTTTATTTTATATACACATGTGATTGTGGAAATTTTTTCAAGATTTTCCGAAAATCTTTACCAAAATCTCCTTATTTCGTATAATTACAGAAATTTTATGTTTTTAAAAATAATTTTTATTATTATTTACTATTAAATATTAATTAATTTTTTATCTTAAATTTTTTTATATTATTAATGAATTTTCGATTATTTTTTAATTTTATTTAAAATTATTTGTAAACCTTTTTATTTTAAATCAGAAAATAAATAAAGAAAAAACCAACTTTATCAAAAAAATAGTTGTGAGATTTCTGTGATATTTTTAAATTAAATTAAACAAAAAACAAAAAAATTTTAAAACAATTTTTAATATTAATATTAGGAAAAATCATATTTTAAATAGACTGTAAATAAAATTTAATATTATTAATTTCAAAATAAAAAAAAAAAATACAAAAACCATTATGAAATTTAAAAAATTTATGATTGTTCCTATAAAATAGTTGAAAAACGAAAAAATAAAAACTGAAGATTAAATTTTAGGTTTATGGAAAAACTTTAATAAAAAAAAAACAAGAGACTGAATTTATAAGGACGAGACCCTATTAATAATTTATGTTGACATTTTTATTTAGGTCCAAAAAAAAAAAAAACAGAGAGAGAAAAAAAAAACATTTTAATAAAAAGTTTTTATAAATTTAGAGTTTTATTTATTATATATAAATTTTATTAATTATTTTTTAGGTGATTTTTCCAGTTCTATTACACAGTCATACTTAAATAAAATATTTGGAAAATGGATTCGAACAATAAGGAATTTTACATTTTCTTGTAAAGCACCAGCACTAAATAACGAATTTTGGAAAAAATTTATAACACATTTGGTCACATAAAATAAAAATTTGACATACATTTATAGAAGCCAAAAAAAAAAATAAATCACTATTTGATACACAAAATCTTATAGGTAAGTTTGATACACTTCGTACATAGAGGGCTAATCTATTTACAATGTGTATTTGTGAACCTGTAAGCTTTATTTACGTATAATTATACAATAAAATTCACAACAAGGCAATATTAAAGAAGGTAAACTATGATAAATCAACAAAATTATAATAATCATGTTAAGGATTTGGTTCAGGAATATACCACATATATATTAAATAATTCAAAGTAGATAACAACATGGGAATCTTATACGTTCCAGTTATATTCGGAATAAATTTGCCAAAAAAAGAGCCTAAAAAGGAACTCCAATTCAAATGCGAATTATAAAAAGGGAGTCGAGTTACGATATTATTACAATATCACACAAAATCATATAAGATTAACACAAAATAAAGTTGAAAAAATTAAAAAAGTATATTAAAACGAGTGTTTTTTTTTATTAATTTATATATTTTAGTTTTTATTTTTTTATTTTATGTATTTCCTTTTTTAATTAAATAATCAGGATATTTTGTATTCATATATAATTAGAGTATTTGCTGTACTATAATATTTAAGAATTAATAATTTTAAACTAAAATATTAATTATGTTCAGTATGGTTAATTAAATATAAATTATAGCACTTAAGTTGGTAAGAAAATTTTCAGGTAAGGGTCTATAAAAAAATGTTCAAATCTTAAATGTTTGTTTCTTATTTTAAATAATTACCCATAGAATTGTATTTAATCAAATATATCCACTATTCTTAACAAGAATAATAAATTAGTTATTACTTAGTAATTAGTTATTATTATTGTCTAATTTGTATATTATGCATGTATTTCTTTAATTAATTTAAGTTTATTATATGTTTTTACAATGATAGAAATCATTATTTTATGATTATTTTTGGTATATAAGAAACTGTTATACAAAATAACAAAACCGAATTAGAATACAATTATGCTTTTATATTATTATAGCTATTAGTTTTTCTTTTGTATTTATATAATTGTTATCTGTATATATGTCTTCCACTATAAACAACAATATATAAAATTTTGGGTAAACTTCATTTATAGATGTGTAAATAAATGATCAAGGAATTTTATATTTTAATTAATTAAAGTGAAATCATATTGGATTGGAATTAAATAAAGCATACAAATAATTAAAAAAGATATAAAAAAATGTTCATATCAGAATCATGAATCAATAATCTTACAATTTATAACAAAATGTAATACAAAAGAAAAATATTTATAAATTATATACTTACTAATTTTTCACAATTTTCGATACATCAGTCTTAATATAATAATCTTTTAATTCATCAATAACCATTGATAATGGCATACCATGTATATTACCACTATTTGATGATAAGTAAGTATTAAGATCAGCATGAGCATCAATCCATATAACAGATATATTTGGATCGAAAGCTAAATGTCCAGCAATAGAACCTAAAACAAAAATAATAAGATAAAATGATAAGATTTATATATTATAAGGAAACCCCATTTTAAATTAAAATAATTAAAAAAAAAAAAATTAAAGTAAGTATTATAAGATCTCAAATAAATTAAATTGTTTAAGTATCATTTATATATATGTCATAGAATAGGTAACCTACCAAATCCAATTGAATGATCTCCACCTAAAACTAAAAATTGATCATTTTCTTTTAGAATTTCTTGAATTTTTAATGATAATGCTTTATTAACAGATATTACATCTTGATAATTTAATGCATTTTCTAATGTTTTAACATTTTCCAAATTATATGTAAGATCACCATAATCTATAATTTTTTTATTTCCTAAAAATATAAAATAAATTACACAATCAATAAGTTAAAAAATTCTTTAAAAATCACAATACATACCAATATTCTTTAATTTTTCTATTAAACCATAATCTCTTAGAAATTTTGGTGCCAAATCAACACCAGATTTTGGTTGTCCTTTATAAAATGGTACACCAATGATACCAAGATTTTGAGTTTTTGAAATTGAATAACAAGCAATTTGTTTATAAAATATTTTTTGATATTTTAAATTTTTTGAAATTAAATTGATTTTCTGTACAATACCCGGTAACATGATTTTAAAATAAATTTTTTTTTTTTCGCCAAAAAATTATTTGTATTCCTTATAACTTTCACAATTAAAATCTAATAGATATTTGCCGCACACAAAATTCAAAATTAATATATTTTGTCCATTGATTTATTATAGATTTGTCTATCAAGAGTAAAGAAATCAAAAAAAAAAAAAAAATTGATAAAAGAAAAAAATATTATTTGATAACCTTAAAGAAAAATATTTTGTTTCTACAAGTACATTATAATATAAATTGCATATATACATACTTATAAGTATGCGAATTATAATAATTTTTGAGATAGGGAGCACCTCCAGCAGATATGAAATCTGAATTCAAAAATGGAATTTTTATATATATATATATGTATACATACATACATAAAATATATATGTATATTTATTTAATTTGATTAAGTTCATAATTATCATAATGGCAAAAATTATATTTTGTAGATTATCAAGAATAATCGCACATAAATATTATATATAAATATGTCCTACTAGAATTTCGAGTAAAGTACTTTTTGGTCTTACTAAAATATTATTATTTTGGTACAAACAATCTGATATTATAGTATATTTTTTTTTTTTTTTTTGGGTTGTTTACTTACCATCAACTAAACGTCAATACTAAATAGATTGGATTAGCTCATAAATTATTTGTCTTATTAGCACTGAATTGGTTACAATGAAAAGAAATAATAAATAGATCTCATTTACTCAACTAGTATTATAAATATTACAAAATATAAGCAAATAAAATATAAATTTTGTAATTATAATTATATTTTATTCAATATTTAATCTAAAAATGTAAAATTGCGTGTCCTATTTCAATTCAAAATTAAAATATAAATTATAGATGGAATTGAAAGTTGTAAAAAATTGAAAGAGAATTATGTGATTTTACAACGCTGATATAGAAATAATTTTTCATTTTAAAATAGGAATACCTTTTTCAAATTTCAAAAAATTTTTCGTTCATAATGGTTTTGTTGTTGAATTCATTTCTTTAACAAAAATAGATACATATGTACTGAATGTCGATAAAATGCTCGGTATGACGAATGTTCAGATGATTTTTAACATAACTATAAATTTCATATCATTCCCACATTCAAGTACATATATATATACATATATGTATATACACATTTATATTTTTTGAAGATGTTGAAGGAAATCAAAAATAATGATAATAACTGTTATTGACCAACATGAAAGCTTTGCTTGGATGATTGGCTTTAATAGTATTCTATACTACAAAAATTATTGTGTGTTTTGCTTTACATTGTAAAAATTCTAAAAATTTCGGGAACACGAAACTTTAGTTATATAAATAGCTCCGTTTAGAAATATTTTTTATTTTAAATTTAACATTTTGAAAAGAATTAAATCACATTAAATTAAAATGAGACAGATTAACAAAAATATTTTCAAATACACATTATTGTTCTACTAGATATAATACTACTTAAGTAAGTCAATTTTAAAAAATCTAGAATGGTAACTGGAAGATCTTTACTGGAAGATATTTCAACCAAATTCTTTCTTATATTATAATTGATACCAAGGGTCTCTTGTATTCCATTAACGAATTGATTTAATCCTATTAATATAATTCTTGTTGTAGATGTGGGAAATAATCTAAAATTATGGAAATTTTAAGAATAAAATTTAGAAAATAAGACAAGTAATATAAAATAATGTTAGAATTTTTGATTTCTTTTCTTTATTTTTTTTTTTTATGTATAAACTAAATTTAAAATTGTATAACTGTTTTTTTTTTCTTTTAATTTAGTTTGTTTTTTTTTTTTGTTAATTTTATTTTTTTCTTAAACAGAAATAAAATACACATGAGCACAACAATTATATATTATTTATATATAAATATATTATTATACTATGTACAAAGACTTAATTAATTAATTAATTTAAAAAAAAAAAGATCAGAATATCGTTATTAAAATAGTTTCTTAATAATAAAAATTGTTTTTACGTTTAAATTGATTAAATTTGCGCTTCAGTTCAAAGTTAAATAATTTTTTTTTTTAATCATTTTGATTCGAATGTTTTTTTCTTTTTCTAATTTTTAATGATTTTTATTTCTAAGTTTTTAATGATTCCTTAAGTATTTACAAATACCACCAAGTACAAGATGTTTTATATTTTTTTTTTTTTTAAGTTTATTCCAAATTAAAAATTTTATTTTAAGATTAATTTACAAATTAAATCTTAGATTATTAAGTAAATGAATACTCTTGAGATTTATTTGAGAAAAAAAAAAATAATAGGGAATTTATAAAATTAATATTGTAACTTATTTATTTTATATATAATTAAAATAAAAAAAATATTTACATATTTATTTATATTCTAACAAAAATCAAATCGATTATAAATTATTTATGAATTCCGTAAGTTGTAAGGCAGGGGTGGAGCGGGGTATAATTCAACCTCAATTGAAATAAAGAAATAATTCCATTTCAATTCCCAATATATTTCGACGTCCCCAAGTTATACTGTCGTATTTTACAAAATGATAAAAATAGAAGAATTAAATCCTGAAATCAAGCCGAAAAATGGAATTAAATCTATGTAATTGTAAACGAAAACAAAATGGAAAAAAAAAATTGCAGTGGTCTTACATATAACTCTTCCATAGGCGTATTGATGTTAGGAAAAACTATAAAACTATTTTTGTAAAATACGACAGTATAATTTTGAGGGTTTGATTTATGTTAAATAATATACATTATTAAAACAAAAAAGAAAATATAATATGTTAAGAGTTTGTAATATAAAAAAAAAGATAAAAAAAAAATATGCAAATTTCACCTTTTGTAAAATAAAAATTATTATTTAATTTTTAGATGATTTTTTTATTAAATATTTGTATGTGCATTCAATTTAAATGACTATGTTTTTGATTCTTGGAAAAAAAAAAAAAAACTAAATGACTATGTTCCTATGTTCTTAAGAAAATGAAATATAAAAATTGTGCTTGTAAATTACAAATAATAAAACTATTATCAAAATTAATACAGAAAAAACAAAACAATAATAAGAAAACAAAATTATTTAATTTATATTGTAAAAAAAATATTTAAATTTATGTTCAATTCAAAAAATATTTTATAATACAATATTTTTTACTAATTCAAAATCTTTAATGTAGTTTTGTCATATTTATGCTTTGAAAATGAATTTATATTGCAAATTTATATATGTTTTATCGGCCTTTAAATGTATAAATACTTGTTTTTTTTTTTGTTTAGTCTTTTTCCTATAAAACTATATTTATTTATTTTTTTAATATTCTTTTTGAAATTTCAGACTTAATTTTTTGATATTATTTTCTTTTTTTTAATAAATTGATATTTTAAAGATTATAATTTTATAATGTCATAATCATTTAAACAAAAAAAAAAAAAAAAAAAAAGAAAAATTTCGGCGGGATCTGACACAACTTTTTGTTTTTTCTAGTATTTTTGGTCAGTCTTGAAAATTATTTTTTTTTTTTTATGTATGCCGTTTAAATGAAATGACGATTTATTTATTGTAAATGTTAAACAAGAAAAATAATTACATAATTGAAAAATAATTAATTCAATAATTAAATTTTAAATATTTCTGAAACTTAATTATTTTTTTGTATAAAAATATCATTTGTATATCAAGTTTTTAAGTAGCGTTTCTAATATTTATTTCATACTAACAGAATATTTGAATTTCTCTATATTATATTTTTATTATTATTTATTATAATTATTAAAAAAAAAAAAAAAATAAAATATAAAAACAAATCAAGATATTAATTGTTATTTTAAGGTGCGAGAATATTTGCATATTTTTTTTTTCTTCTCTATATTAAATAGTTTTCTTAAATACACATAAGATTTTTTTGTTTTTTTTTTGTTTACTTAACTATTTTAATATATACAATATTATTTAATTTAATTAATATTATTAAATAATACATATAATTTTTATATGATATATTTATAATATATATATTTCTACATAGTTATTTATATATTGTGTATATAAAATTAATTAATTTTAATAAAATATATATATTACTTTTTTTTTTTCTTACTTAAAAGTTATTATTTTTTTATATTTATATTATTTTAATTTACTTAATGTGTACTTTTTGTTTAGCTTGATATTAAATTGACATTATAAAAATTTATATATATTATATTTATGTATTTGTTGTTGTTTTTTTTTTAATTTTAATTTTAATATATTTAAAAAGAAGCATTGCATAATATCAACAATTACTTTTAACGTTGATGCCTTGTTTTTATTTTTAATTATTTTTTGTTATTTTTTCCTTAAGTTTTTTTTTTATTATAATCTTATTATTTAAATTATTATTATGTTATATTTACAAATCATTATGAATATTTTATATTTATTATTTTATCTAAATTTCATTAATTAAAAAAAAAAAAATTAAAAGAAAACAAAATTAAAATTTTTAACTACGCAAGTTTAATGCTATGCAATGCTGCAATTCTTAAAATGATTTCTTAATATTTATTGGAACTTGTAAATTTTAAAAAAATTTTATAATAATAATAAATTTTATTTGTGATTCTTTATTATATAAATTTATAATTTAATTATATTTATTAAAATATATTGAAATTAAATTGGAATGTTTTCAATATATATATTTTTTTTATTATATAATGTATGTATATTAAGTAAAAACATAAAATTTTAAAGGTACATGATGGACAGAAGTTTTCAATTAACAAATAATAAACGGGCACTAAAATTAAACAATTTTAAGTAAATTTTTAGTTTAAATGTAAAAAAAAAATTTAAAGATCGTGTTATATATATATATATATATATATATATATATGTACACATATATGATATCTGAATTATTTTATTTTTACTTGAAGTAGTTTAAAATTGCTTATTTAGTAAATGCATCTAAATATGGATCTTTTGAAATGGACAGCTTTTCTTTTTATAACTTATAGTATAAAAAACTAGTTTTGTAAATGATGCTGCTAAAAAAAAAAAAATGTTGAATTACAAATTACAAATAAAATTAATATATTCGTAAAAAAAAATAAAAAAATTAATTTAAATAGTTAAAAATTATACATTTATTCATTCTTATTTACTTTATATATAATATATTATATACAAAATACTTATAAACGCAATTGATTTAATCTAAAAAAAAAAAAAAAGGTTTCGTTTTGTTGTCGTTCTAAATTATTGAGAAATTAGTAAAAATTATAAAACAAGTCTTGGTTTTTTTTTGTTTATTTAAATAAGGAAAATTAAGTTTTAAAAATGTGCTTGCTTTTATTTTGTAATCACAGGAGAGCTGCATTTTGTTAATTTTTTTTTTTTCTTTTGTTTTAACTATCATAAGACTGTAATGTTTGTATTTTCAGTTTTTTCTTTTTAATTTTGTGAATTATTTTTCTTATTTTAAGTAATTTAAAGTATTTTTTTTTTTTTTTTAATTTTCCACGTACATATTATTATTAATATTAAATATTTAGCCTGTTTAACAAAACTGGTTTCAATATACGACATTATTTGCTACGAATGATTTTGAATTTAAAGTTAAAATTTAAAAAAAAATAATCATTAATTAAAAATAAATGTTGTAATTAGTTGTAAAAACTCGACTACTATTAATTCGATTATTGAAAAAATAATTAAATAGTTATTTAAGTAAATTTTTAAATTTTTTCATACTAAACATTTTACTTTATTCGTAAAGTAAAAGAAATTCGAAACTTATTAATTAATTGCAAATTTTTTTTTATAAAAAAATTTTTTTTTTTTTATAAAACAAAATAAATTATAATATTTTATTTAAATTTAACTAAAATATATTTAATTATAAGTCAGTAAATTCATCTTTTAAGGAAATTTTGGATTCAATTAATCACAGTTGTTGCCATTTTTATTGAGCATAACAATATCTTCTTCACTTTCATCTTCTTCGTCTGTATCGATAATAGGATCTCTATCATCATCATAATAAGGTGTTGCTTTTATACCACCTTAAAATAATTAAAAAATATAAATAATACCATAAATAATTGATATTTAAATTGCTTTAATTGATCACTTACGTTTTATAGGTGATCTAAATAATTCTGTTTCATCTAAATCATCTTCATCATCATCAAATAAACGTTTAGGATTACCTTTTTGAGATAATATCGAAAAATTATAATGAGGTCTAGCTGTTCCAGTTATTTTATTTGTTTTAGCTCCAACAAATTGTACACACATCGCACAACAAACTATTAACAATACTAATATACATCCTGTACTAACTATAAATAATAAACGTGGTAGGCCCCATATTCGATCATCAATTTCTAATCTAAATATAACACCACGTATCGTTTCTCCTCCAAATGTACCAACATGTACTAAACGTGTTCCAAATTCATGTCCAGGTGCTTCTGCTTTTAATGTTACATCACCAGCTGGTATATCTTTTAAAGTATATATTCCACTACTATCAGAAAATGTTGTATGTGGTAAATCTGGTGATATTATAGATACTTTGGCATTTTGAATTGGATGATTTAAATTATCCAATACAAATCCGGTTATGGTAGCATCATTGAAATTTCCTTCTTTTTGTTGTTGTGTTTTTGGTGTAAAATCAATATGTTCACTTTCATTATTTCGACCGATATCTAAAAATACATCTCCCAAATTATTTATTAATCCTTTGTATACTTCTAAACTAATAATTTTAGTTTTGTGTCCACTTGCTTTTACAATCAAATCAAATTTTCCTGGAGGTAAAATCAAACGGAAATGAGCAAGATTTCGAGTAACACTTTGTACTCGGGATTTTTGTCCGGAAATTTGAACGTGAGCATTTCTTACAGGCTGTCCTCTTTTGTTTTTAACATATCCTTTAATACCAGTTTCAGTCAAATAAAGGAAATTTAATAGTTTATCTAAATTCTCCCGCCATACTGTACCAATATCCTTAGCAACTGGCATTCTACAGCAAGAAACTTCTAGTGTAAGCATTGGAATGTGATATATATCATAAAACAGATTCGTTATTTTTTGTACAATTTCATTTTGGTTCGATCGAAGTTTGCTTGATGGGCATGGTTTTGGTGGTGAAATCAAAAACTCTGATTGTTGTGTTGTTTGAACAGTCTTTGCCAATTTCGGATATATTTCAACTGAATCATTTTTCGGCTGAGGGTAACTGTAAATTTCACAATGATAAATTAATAAAATATCTTTTAGAAAAATAACTGTAACTCACTAAATATTAGATCCACCGGAAGAGAATGACAATATTAAATCGAATCCTTCATTATCAAGCATTTTTAAAAGTAGATTTCGCTGCGGTTGCGATTCAGGACTTACAATACTGGCTGCAAGTTCATTCTCAACTTCTGGATCACATATTGATGGGCTAATAAAAAAATTAATAGTTCGCATAATAACAAATAAAAGAATTTATAAATTTACTTTGACATATATTGATTATAAATATCTTCAAATCCTTCCATTACAGGCAAGAAATGAATAACTGTATTATTAAGTAGCTTTCCAACTGGAGGTTCCTTATTGCCCGCAATTATATGTCGAGCTAGGTTCATTGTAAGCTCTCTTCCTACTGGAATCGAACTGAATACAGAACTTAGTATTAAAATGTGGAATTTCGTTTCTTCAGGTGAACCAATCTACAATTAATAAAAAATTAATTTAGTAGATTTTATCCCGCTATTTTACTTTTGTATCATAATTATTGTCGTATTCAATTGTAAAAATAAAAAACTGAAAAATGTTTTTTTAAAAAATTTATTGTACTTTTCTAATAATAGCTAAAACGAAATTTAATTTCTTATTCATCTTTAAAAAAATTTTTCTTTCCTCAAAACTATCAAAGTCAGATTTCTCCAGTTCATCACACGAATCTGTTCCACCATTACCACCTGTATGAGCGTACAAAGCTAATCTTTCACTAAACGCAGCTACTCCACACCATGCTCGAAAGGTTAATTTTCCTTCATAATTTCCTGGTTCCACAAATTGTTCAACTTTTGTAACTACATCAAGAGTACCATAAAATCCTAAAACATCAAAAAGAGCTTTTCGGAAGTTCTCAGTAGGAATGAAACGTTCTTCTTCGTTTCCGTTCTCATCTTCCTGTTGCGCGCTCTTAAATTTTAAAAACACTCTGCGATAAATCGATTTACGTTGCCTTGAAACCCAAGCATATTTCGACAAATACTCAAAAGCGGACATTTTATTCAATTCTTCAAAATTCATTGGGATTTCAAATCTGCAACCCGATTTAGACAGTTTTCTTGGTATTTTTTGATCCGCTTCATACCATTTCACAGCTTTTCCAGTTTCAACTATAGTAGGGGGAAAAACAGGTAAACGACTGGCTGAGGTTGGTTGATCAGAATTCTCAAGTTTTTCTTGTTTTAAATAAAGATATTTCATAGCTTCCTTTCGAGCTCTGTATAAATATTTTTCAAAAGTATCTTCTAACACATCAATATCCAAACCAGTCGATAAAACTTTGAAAGTTTCTGTTGTTAAAAAACTTTCTTTTAAAGCTTCATACTCAACACTTCTTTTCCCCATGCTACTTGTAGCGACTGGTAAAATTAACTCGGTTGTTGGAATTAAAGACGGTCTAGTACTCGCGGCAACCGATTCGGGCCCCAAAGTGGATATTTGCGTTTCAGGGTCCTTGTTTAAATGAAATGTTGTTGGTGGCTGTTTAAGTTTTTTACGTTTTTTACCACGTCTCTGTTCCTCTTGTTCTTCAAAATCATCCCGATCATTTATGCAAGTGGTAGGCTGAACAGCGTCATTATCATCTTCCTGATTTTCTTGATCATCAGAGGGACTTTCAACACATGTAGTAGGATCAGTTTTAGCTTTACCTTCAACTGTCTTACTGTCTGGTCTTTTTATTTGCGGAGCAGATTTTTGATCATCCAATTTTGACCTATCATCAAAATGAGACATTTCTGAAGTTATATCTTTCGAGGCAATTGTATCTTGACTATGTGATCGTCTTAAATCCAATATTAACTGTTTTCTTTTATTGATTTCAAATTTTCCCCATTCTGGTGTAATACAACGTCTATTAACCATAGACCCAGTACCACTGGTACGAGTTTTTTCACTAATATTTGTTGGAGATGGCGATAATGGCCTGGAATCTGTTTCTCTATACCTTTGGTAAAATTCTTCTGGTATAACTCCGTTTTCATCCAGATGAAATGTTTCGAACTTTTGTTGATCTTGTTTACTATACGATTTTACATCTTGCAGTTTACTATGTTTAGCGTTTTTTATAATACTTCGAAGAATTCTTGGTGCTGGATGATTGCAAAGAACAGAACAACGCGTTGAATATGGATTATACAAATCTCCAAAGGGTCGAATACTTAGTTCAATAGATTGACAAAGTTTATAAGGAATCAAGTTAAATGATGGAGCTTCATCATGATAAATTTTTGTTTGTGGCTTTGTAGATTTAAATAAAGATTTTGAAGCCGGTATTAAACCAGTTCGACTTGCAGGGCTAGTCATTTTTTAATTCACATACCATCTGCACGATGGAAAATCTTTTAACTAAAATTTGTATATTTTGAATTTCCTTTTTATTAAATCGATAATCAAAATAACAAGTTTTCTTGTTTCCTAGCAATTTCCTGTTTTGTTTAAACTTTCGACGAAAGCATTTTGAATATTCACTTATGTCAAAAACATATGCTTTAGCAATTATTATTCACTTACCGTATTTATTTTCGTTATTATCATAATTTAAAAATCGTTATTATAAACAAAGTTTTAAAATATTTTTATACTTACACTTGATGTAACTTTCAAAGAATGATATTTCTTCGGAATATTTGTATCTCCTCCAGCTTCAAAGGCAACAAAATCTATATTTAGTCTTTGCAATTCATTCATTTGCCTATTAATTTGACTATTCGTGTAGTATTTGGTATTAACAACATGTTGAATTATTCTGTAATCGTGTGCGGAAGCCCAATGTTGTGCATCATCATGCATTAAAGATATATCTAAACGTAATGAAATCGATCCGTTACCCTTAATTTCGAATTCTTGTATATGTGGTTCATACCTAATCATAAAAAAATTAATCCATTAATTAATTACAATATAAACCACAATTTAATTAACATACGAGTCAGCGATCACTGTTATATTATGTTTTCCAGGTAAAACTAATCTCCAATAATCACCATTAATTCCAGTATGTGAAAACATTTTTCTACCGTCGATCCATATTTTAGCTCCGGCAACAGGATGACCAATCGAACTTTTTATATAACCATGAACAGCACCATGTATTTGTTCCATATATTTTAAAAGTGGTTCTCTATTCGCTTCCCAGAAATCAGGTAATTCTGATGATTTTGGATACTTTTCACAACTTAACTCTAATGTTAACTCAAAGCAACCTGCTTTTATATAATTCCAGTCCTGCATTCCTCCAGTTACCGAATACCATTGTGCTCCATTCGTTATGCCATTCTTAAATTTCTCTAATGGGAATTTCGGACAAGGTTCACCTAAATGCATTGTCGGATGTGAATTCGAATAAGTTTTAGCTAAATGAACAAAAATATCATTATCTTCTGTTGGATTCCTCTCGGCATGTACTAATCGACTAAGTACTTCATTTTTAAATGATTCTTCGGTGTCATCATAGGGATAGTTTGCAACTAAAGATCCACCATGTAAGTTTGCTGATAATACAAATGGTATAGATAATGTCCAATTCATTACAGCTAAAGTTTCAACTTCCTGTTTTGCATTGAAATTATTTATGCCATATTGATCAGGAAAATTTCTATTTAAATCAACATTATTAGCATTTGTACGACCATACGAATATTTATCCTCTAAAAAAGTAACAAAAAAAAATTGCATATATTTTTTTTTTTTGCTGAATTTTTAAAAATAAAAAAATAAGTCATTAAATACCTAAGACTGACATTTCGTATCCATCAGGGTTCATACTAAATAACAAATGAATTCTTGTATCATTGACAAGTTTTGTAACACGTTCATTTATTCCATAATTTTCACATAAATATTTAGCTAATAATAAAAGCATTTCTCTACCTACAACCTCATTTCCATGCATATTTGCAACATATTTAAATTCAGGAATTCCAGGTGTATGTTGTTTAGGATTCTTACCAATTGCAAGAACCCATAAATTTCTACCTTGTACGCTTTTACCAATTGAATACATATATGTTAATATTGGATATGTTTCTGATAATTTACGAATAAATCTAAAAGGATTTTTGTTTTGTTTTAAAATCATTGAACACGAAATAAATTTATAATAGCAGAGAGATATTGTAACTAATTATACTTACGCTTCCATTGCAACAAAATTATGATGTATAAATTCTGGTGGTTGTATAAATCCATATTTATCTTGTCCTTTCCTTTGTCTTACAACAGTCCTATAAGCACCTGTTAATAAATTTTACAAGAATTGTGTTATACTCTTCAAATTAAGGTTTTCATAATTACAAATTTATGAACTATATATTTTTTGTTATGAATCCACATGAAGATTATATTTTTTTATTTATTAGTCATCATGAACAAAGCAAAAGCAAATATAAATAGAAAAAATGCATTATATTATTTTTAATAGCAAAATTAAAGTTTTTCATAATTTTATAGTCAATATTCAAAAAACTGTTGTATTAATTATTTTAAGAATTATTAAACTGTCGGAACTAGTTATTCCAAATACCCTCAATTTCTTTTAAATAATTAACAATATATTTTTTATTTAAATTAAAATGAAATGCATAAACCAAGCTTTAATTAATCAGTCATTGTTTCAATATATGAAATCTCAATAAGGAATTTTAAATTGAGTTCCGAAGTATGAAAATTAAAGGAAATAAGACAAAAAAAATATTTGATCTTACTTGATGAATAAAAAGAATACTTGATTTCTTCTATTAAAAATAGAATTTGAGTCGGCATTCGAATTAGAAATTCGAAGAATTTGAGTCGGCAAATTATTATTTGAAAAAAAACTTATTTGAATAATATAGAGAAATTCGATATTCTTTATGTGGAATATTATGTAATTTATTTTTCTTTCCACAATTCAAGAAGTTATTTTGTCTTTTATATTATTTTTTAGAAAAGAAATTGGATATTATCCTGCTACATATTATTCAAAATTAAAATGTAATACAAATCTTACGAGTATACTAACATTTTAATAACATTTTGAACAAAAAAAAAAAATGAAATAAAATTTAGAGCTTATTTTTATGACTATTGCCTTATGAAAAATTAATACATACATATTTTATAATACATAATATACATAAGTATATTTTGACTATAAATATTATATATATTATTTTTTTATTTTATTACCCAAGAAAAGCATAATTAAAAAAAAAAAGTATTAAGCATCAATTATTATTATAAAAAAAGCAACAAGAAGTGCATAGCAAATAATATTATTATTAAATTATTTCAAAATACATATTGAAGACGAAAAAAAAAACAAAAAAAAAAAATTAATAATTAACAAAACTAAAAACATAAAATAAAATAACAAAACAAAATATTAAACACAAAAAAAAAATAAATAAATACAAAACAAACTAGTTAATTTTATATATATATATACATTTCTCTTATTAAATAATCGTTAATATTCTATAATTATAAGTTTTCTATTTTATTATAGTAAATAATAATAAAAAAAAAAAATAAAAAGAATTTTGTAATCATATCCAAAATTAGCATTTCTTTTTTATGAATTAAAATCGATAAATACGATATAATATAAAAAAATTTTATTAATTTTAATTTGATCAATCATGCCAAACATATAAGACCTTTTCATAAACGCAGCATATATTGCGATTTTATTGTGAAAAATTTGCTATATTTTTTGTTTAAAATAAAATACTGCTAATCTATTTTGTTTAAATTTCTCGATACTAATTGGAGAAATTAGTATAAGTAGTAAAGTTAAATCATATAAACTGTTCTGATTTTATAGAATATAATAAAAAATATATATTATTTTATGGTTAAAAATATATATATATTGCAATACATATTACGTTTCGTTGTTGGGTATTTCTGAAAATCCAGTTCTTAAGGTTAAAACTACCAGAACTTTATGCACAAATTAAATGTAGAGGTCTTAAAGCTTTGCAACTCTAACCATAAAAAACTGCACTTTCAGAAATACTCATTGTTATGCAGTATTGCATTTATAAAAGTCTCTAATAATGTGCTACAAAATTCTTTTTATTCATTTTTTTATAAATATTTTTTTTTTTATTTTAAATAAGAAACAAACACTCTATACTTTTAAATATTACACTCAAATATTATGTCATATATATAATTTTTTTTTTTATTTATTTTTTAATTTATTATATATGTAATTTATACAAAATAAGAATAAAAATAAACCAAAAAAAAAAAAGCTTATGTAATAAAAAACTTTTCCAAAATTATTTAGATTGAAAAATTTCATTAATTTGGTTTTTTTTTAAATATAACTTTATTGACCCACCTTTACAACATTATAATTTTTGGTTTTTTATATTTTTTTTTTTTTGAATTTTATATTTTTTTTTATCTTATAATATTGAATAGATTGTACATTTACTTAAGTTTTTATGTATATATATATATATATATTTTGTTTTTAAATTTCTTTAAATCTTATACATACATACACATTTGTTTTTTTAATTTTAATAATTATTATTTAAAATTTTCTAATGATATAATAATAATGAATAAATTATAAAATATATTATAATTTATTTAATGATATTTATTGTGTTTTTTTTTTTTTGATTTATAATACACATATGCATAATATACATGAATAATTTTAAAATTACAATTTCAAAACTAACAAAAAATTTAAAGTTAAAAAGAAGTTTTTTTTTTTCTTTTTTATGTTAATTTTTATGAAAAATAAAATATAATGTCAATTATTTATAACAATTAAGGTGTGATTAAAAAGAATATTGTAAAATGAATTATATTATGAAATAAATATAAAGAAAATGTTTATTTAATCGACAATTTTTATATCTTTAATATTTTAATCTCAAATAATTAAATATTTTTTTACTATTAATCTAATATTTTAATCCCAATTAATATTAAATTTAAGTTAAATAGTAATAATTTCAAATTTTACATATCTAATAAAATTTATTAAAACTTACCAGAAAAAAAAAATGATAATAAAACGAACAGAAATGCTACCTAAAAACATTCTTTTTCAAATAATCGATTAAGTCAAACGTAAATCGGTTAAATCAGATTATTATGATAAAATTAATTAATATTGAAACATATTTTAAAGATATATGTATCTAGAAAATTTTATTCTATTCTATTCAAAAAAATATTTCATGTAACATAACAATTTTTAATTTGATTTTTAATTTAATTTTTTTTAATAAATACATTTTGGAATTTTTAATTTATTTTAGTTCAAAATTTTAATTCCATTTTTAATAACTATAACATGGACTATAATAGAGCAGGATCCTATTACGCCAACCACTTTTACTTTTACTTTGATATTTCAACTTTCGGAAAAAATTTTTTTTTCTATCAAATATAGCTTATTAGTGTTTTGACTCTTGGTGCAACAAAAAATTTGCAAATTTTTTGATTAATTGAAATAAAAAAAAAGTAAAAAGTGCTTGGTGTATAGGCCTCTGTTAAAACTGTTTAGATAATTAGAATTATTTAAAATATCTTAATACATTTATTAATTTCTATTATTAAAAATTAAATAACCATTGATATTTGTTCATAATAGTATGAATAATAATTTATCATACTACCATTTTTAAAAAAAAGGAGGTATGTAATTGGTAATTTTGTTTTTTTTTTTTAATCGGTGAGGAATATTAAATATTTTTTTAAATTTAATATTTTTATTTTATTTCAAATACTAAAAATATAAAAAGATAGATATAGGATAAAAGTCTTTAGGTACAAGTTTTTTTTTCTAAAATCCAGTCTTGTATATTTAAAAATATAAAACAAAATAATATATTAATGTAATTTATATTTAAAAATTTTAATTTCATATTGATAAAAATAAATTTTTTAATACATAAAAAAATAAAAATTTCATAAAATGTAAAAAATAGAAATTTGATTTGAAAATATAGTTTATGTTTTTCTAGTTAGTTATAGTCTTGTTTTCTAATTTATTTAAAACAAAAATGAATACTGTTTTTTTTAATGGGTTGTTAATATATATTCTTTTAATTAATAATTATGTGAAATATTATTATATTAATTTATATATTGTAGAGTAATAGTTACTATATGTGTATTTTTAAAGATTTTTCTCCTTTTTTATAGAGTATAATTTTGATTAAATGTATATAAAAGGAATCTATTTTATTTAATAATCTAAAAGTATTATATTTCACATTCAAATATAATAATGTTTATTGAGAATTTACTCATAGCTGCTTTCTATTTTTTGTTGTTTGTCTTATTTATTTGTTTCTTATTTAATTAATCTAACACATACTATTCTTTTATATAACAATATAAGATATATTATTTAATTATGAATATTTTTTTACATGCACGTGTATTTGTAATATTTTCATATCTCACATTAATTTGATAACAATAAATTTTATGAATGGGTACATGACATGTCGTTGACTTCAATCTCATTGAAAATATACTTTTAATATAATTTTTTTAATTTACAATAATAATAATAATTGTATGAAATTTTTAATAATAATAAATTAATACATTAAACTTTGACATAATATAATAACATTTTGTTTTTATTTTAATAATATACTTTAAATTTTAATTTATTAATATTTTATATTAAATACTTTTTATATTTAAAAATGTTTATATATGTTTCTGTTTTGTTTAAAAAGTGAATTATATATATATATAGTATTTTAAATTTATATTTTATAATAAGTGCATTTAATTTTTTATTATAAGTTTTTTAAAACATAAGCTTTATATTTTTATATATATTTGCTTATTTTTGAAATTAAAATTTCTGAAATTCAATGAAAATAAAATAGACGATTTTAGGACATAATGCAGAATGAAAATTTTTATAATTAATACAATAAAAGAGCAATGAATAAAAAATTGTTTAACAGATTAAAAAAAACATGTTTTTATATGGTATATTTAAATTCAGTTCGATTGAAATTACGAATACTCACATTTACTGAAATGTTTATTCGTCTTTAAGGATTTGTTTATTTTATTTTAAATAATTGATCTTAAATTTAATTGTTTTGTAAAGTATCTTCGTATTTTTTTTTTGTTTTTCACAAAAATAAATTTACTTTTTTTTTTCTTTTCTATTTTTATAATTACAAAGGATCAATTTTTATAACCAACACTATATTAATGCAATTGAACTTGATTGTGAAACAAATAAGAAATCCCAAAACCTTTCAGAAGAAAAAAAATAAATAACCGAAAAAATAGTTATAATGTATTAAAAATAAAATGAATGAGAAATTTAAAACAAAAAAAAATCAAATAATAAATGTAAGAAATAAAAAACAAAAATAATAATTCTATTTTTTAAATGAAAATATTTGAAAAAAAAAAATTATATAAGAACAGTGCACAAAATAATAATTAATATTTTTTAATGAATATAATGAAGTTAAAATTGAAATAATATGATTCTTAATAATTAAAATAATTTGTTTGTATGCTTTGTCGATTTAATTAAAAGTAAAAATAATAAAAAAAAATTCAATTGAATTTTTTTTTTCTTATAATTTTTTTTTTTTAGAATTAAAATATAATTTGAAAAAAAAAATAGTATTTTTTATATATAAGTATATTTTTTATGCAAAATAAAATTAAAATTAATTTTGCTTTTAGTTTATTTAGGTTGTTTTTTTTTTCTTAAAAAAAAAAAAATTAGTTTTCTTTTTTTAATTTCCTAAATAAAATGAATTGTAAAAATTATTATTGTTGGTACCATCATTAAATTCAGCTGGTTTTAATGCAAAATCAATTCTTGTTGCAAGTTGATTTTCACCAATTTCAATAGTTTTTACTTCACTTGGTTGAAAACTGAAAATTTCAATTGATATGGGAATTCAACATAAAAATAAAAAAAATAATAATAATAATTAAATTAATAAAAATGTAAATATATATGTTATTGCGTTAAAATTAAAATTACCCAAATGCCTGTGCTTGTATTTTATATTGGCCTGGTGTCAATAAACGCCAGTATTCACCGCGATCTGTACTTAAAATTGGTTTACCCTCAAGACCTTCAACAACAAGTTTTGCATCCGCAATAGGATAACCATTTAAATCAGTTATTAAACCCTAAAATAAAAAAAATTATAAAATATTAGTATTCATTTATATTATACTATATTCTTTAAATACGCAATATTTTCTGAACATATATTAATTAATTTTTGAATAAACTTGTAATTTTCAATTTACATATATTAATTAATTTACCTTAATTCCAACATGTGCCAATTTTATAAATTCCAATAAACTACGTTTATTTCTTTTCCATTCTTCTGGTAATACTGATGCATATGGATATTTACAACATGATAATTCAATTGTTAATTCAAAACAATTTGTAAAAGCATAATTAAAATCTTGCATTCCACCATTTAATTCATACCAAAATGCACCATTTGTAATACCATTATTAAATGAATCATTACAATTATGTCCATTTCTCATAATCGGATGATTTATTGAATATGTTGATGCCATTTTTTTAAACATATTATTATCAGGTGTTACACTTTCAATACAACAATCACGATGTTTTCTAAAAATAAATTAAATATAATTAATTAAATTAAATATATGCATATATAATATAATTGATTTTTTTTTTCGTTTTGTAACATTTACATTGAATTATCATATGGATAACTTGCAACAACTGCACCACCATGAAAATTTGCTGATAAAACAAATGGATTTGATGTAATCCAATTTATTACTGCTGATGTTTCTGGTTGTCTTGCTCGATCAATTGTACTATTATCTAATCTATCAGGAAAATCACGATTTAAATCGATTCCATTTGCATTATTACGTCCAACAAAACCCGGCAAAGAATTACAACTTCCTTCCTGTAAATAAAAAAATTAACAGTAAGTAAATTAGTTTTATAAAGCAAATAAAATTAAGATATGTAAATAATTACTAAAAAAATATAATATAAGTAAATAATTAAGGGAAATTAAATTTATGTAAGTAATAATTGAAAAAAAAAGTTTATTTAATAATAATTGTGATCTGGATTTGAAACTACTGAAAGTAATTTAAAAATGAAGCTAATAAAAAATGACAACTTTAGTAGACATTTTTAGTATACATAAAGAAACATCAAATTCAAGGAAAAGTAGTGGGAGACGTCTGGCGATAATTTAAGAAACTTTCTCTTGAGTTATAACTTTGCCGAGTTATTTACGTAAAACATAAAACCAAAGATCTTTTAACACTTAACCCTATAATATACAGAGTGATTTAGAAAGACACAATACATACCAATAGTTTGAGTATCGAATATTAATAAATATTTGTTTAGCAGTGGATACCAAATCCGAAGGGTTTTCGAGATACAGGTATTTTTACAAATTTTCACGAAATTTCTCTTTGTCCTAACTTTTTTTTTTCTTACAATTTCCATTTTGAAAGAAATAGAAGCGTCAAACAAACGGTTTTTGAAGGGGCCAGTAAAGATTTTAAAATCAAAATATTATTTTTTTTGGAATATTATGTACTTTCGGAAACATAAGCATTCAAAATTCCAAATTTTCCATTTTTTTTAGTTTTCTTGTCATTAATTTTCCTAAGAAACCCTAAAATTGTTTGAGAAATGAATAGAAATAATTTTTTTTTTGAATCATATATAAAATAAATTAAATATTTTATTAAATTATAAATTGCAAATAAAATACATGTAAAATAATAAAATATTATCAGTTTATTTAATATTTTTAGCAAAAGTAAAATATTAAAAGGTCAATAATAAAATTGATAAACTCTTTAAGCTAAAAAATTTAAAAAAAAAGCAAAAATAAAGTAACTAAATTTTTTATTAAAAATATTTTTAAGATTGATAAGACATAATTATAATATGTACAAAAATATATTATCAATTATTTCAGTATTTCGTTATAGAAGTGAATAATTTATTATAAATTAAGTATAATGAATACTATATAGGCGTTAACCCTATTCTACTTCGGGTGCTCAATAATTTTTCTGTTGCCACAAAAATATTTTTTATTTCAAATTAATTTTGGTAATATTTTTTTTCTTTTTTGCACTAAAAAATATTACGTAGTCATTTATTTCGAAAATTATATGCTATTATAACAAATTAGTTACAATTACAGAAGAAAATTTAAAAAATTTTCTAGCAATAAAATAATAATCAATCTTTTCAAGGATATTTATGCTTACATATTGTATTTAATGCTTTTGTTTTTTTTTTTGCCCTCATAAGTATTTAGTTATAAAACTATGTATATTTATATGTTTAACTATAATTACAACTATATATAACAAACTCTTGAATAATATAACACTTAAACAATTTTTATAGTTTTTTAGTAAATATAAGGGTTCATAAAATTTTCTTATTTTTTTTTTGGTATTTCTAATATTCCATTTACAAAATAACAAATAAGAATTTACTATAAAATATACATAATAATATTATTGCTATAAACAATATAATAAAATAATGTTTTTATTTTAAAATCAATATTAAAACTACGTATGAGTATATAAATAAAAATTGTACTTGAAACCTAAATATTATCAGTTGTAGTACCTAATTATAAAAATTTAAATTACAACGGAAAGTCAATAAAATATTCTAATTAACGCATAATTTTAATTTTCATAGGTTAAGGTTTTGTTGTTTTTTAATTTCGTTCTTGAAATTGTTCTCATCTTATCATTGGTACGAATTATTCACATTTTATATTTTGTGAATTTATTATGCTTTACATATTGTGAATTAAGTCCGTTTGTAGTTACATGTAGAAGCTATCGATACGACATTCAAAATCAAACAAAAATGTCAAGAATAGTGAAGAGACACTAACTGAATTTTGAGTGTTATACATAAAATTAACAATTTCTATACCACACGACAAGTATAAGCACATCATGCGAGTGGAAAGTCTTCAAATTTTATAATTTTAAACAAAATAATTGAATTAATCAGAAATAATGGTTTTAGCATATTTAGTATATTTCCAATATTTGGAATATTCGAAAATCATGTTTTTTTGTACAATATATTGTAAAATATTATATTAAAATTAATTAATAAATTTTGTTATAATCAATATTATAATATTGATTTACATTACATTTGATAACATTAGTGAGATCAAAAGGACAATTATTATTAATTAAAAAAAAATGTTATGGTTTATGAAGTCTTGTACATATACATATATATACGTTATCTTCCTACATCGATTTTATACTTAATATGTGGGCGATTATATGTGATTCAATAGCAAAATGTTATCAATATTTTCCAATTAATTATAAAATTTTTTTGCATTCCTTACATAAGTATCCAAGTACATTTCATTGATTCTAAGTCATGTAGTGTACAATAATGATATTTAGTTGACAAGTTAAATGTAAGTCATATTATGACAATCAAATGCGTCAACCTACGTATAATCAAATTAAATTTCTTTTTTTTTTCAGAATTTTATTAAAAACGGCCCTATTCAATTTTGTTTCATTTAGTATTTCAATTTTTATTTTTTAAATCATCAAAGATATAAATCTAAAATGATCTTACGCATTAAATACACCTAAGGAAATATTATGAAAAGCAATTGAAATATAACAACAATGACAACAATAAAATGAAATTGATGTCAATGAGGCGACTTTTGAATGAAAAATGAAAAATTGTAACGCAGGATACAAAAATATTTCTGAAGTGCGATTATATCTTTTAGGTTCTTCCCTCAATTTATTTTTAACTTTTCAATTTATATTGTTTTTTTTTTTGTTATAAAATTTATATTTGAATCAAAAGATTAAATTTTTAAAATTTAATATAACTTAAATTTAAAGCAAGTACTCAACTATATGGAAAGAGAACTCAATGGTCTCAACGGAATTTTTTCATCGCAAATTTATTAATATATTGATTCAGTTATTAATAAAATAAAGGGGGGGGGGGTGTGAAAGAAAATAACACTTCTTTAAAAAGAAAATATGACATTTTTTCTTTTATTATTCTTTCCATTTTAGTCATTTTTTTTATTATAATCACGAATATAACAACAAGATAAAAATTAATGAGTAATAAAAGTACAACAGAATAATAATAACCAATTCTGATATATAAAAACCTATATAGATATTTTTATACATAAGTGTGCTAAAAATAAAGAATAACAGAAAAAAGAAAGTCTATAAATAATTAATGTCACATAAGAATATCCTTGGAGACCTTTCAATTTTTGTTTTTTTTATATTATCGCTTTCAACGATGTTATTTTTATGCATTTCTCATTTTCTGCATAAATACAAAATAATATATTCTACAAATATATTATTTATATATACATAAATATATATAGCTATACTGTATTTTCCACCCGTCTGCACATTAATAATAAAAAAAAAAAATATGTAAAACATACTTATGTTGATGATAACGGTATACATAAACTTTATAAATTAATGTGCATGTTGTACGTATTTTATGGAATATAATTTAAAAAACGGAAAAATTTTATACACTATCTTATCATTAAATTAGTCTATATAGTATAATTTTATTGTGTATTTAAAATAATTTTAAGTACATTTTGTGAATGGTATGTTACAATATATAATAAATAAGTAATAATGTGGAAATGCAAAAATAATTTTGAAAGAAACAAAAACATCGGTGCGCTTTGTGGTCTTATATATAAATTTAATATACATACATATATGTATGTATAGCTACATTATAAATAAAATATAACAGTTTTGAGAAAACAGTAATATAAATTTAATTTCATGTTATGTATAGGATTTATTGAACACATAAAAAATGTTTCGGCTTCTTGAAATAAGATGGAGTCATAGTAGTTCATATATATGCTAATTGTTCAATAACACTTAAAAATAGTTTCCAAAGTCGGGCCCTAAAATGATATATTAAGATCAAGCGTATTAAATGATAAATACATAATTGTATATTTTAAATTTCGTAGAAATATCAAATTTTCTAATATGGCCAAGTTAAGTATTTTACAATAATATTCTCGATGCTGTAATAATTAGTATTCTATTACTTAGTGTAATAAATGGTATTTAATTCACAAACTTTTGATATGTATGTATATACAAATGTATATGTACAATCAATTAAATTAAATTTTAAGCTATATGTTACGATCTTTATCAGAAAAAAAAATAAAATATTTTATTATTTTAATTTCATACCACAATATTACAAATCATAAAATTTTAGAATTCATTGATTATTTAATTTGTTTTTCTGGAACTAATTTTAGAACAAAACGAAAAAGTATTGGAAAAAATTAGAAATAAAAATTTATTTTTGCACTAACATTAAAAAAATGGAACATATTATTAAAGAAATAATGATTATATTGTAAAAAATTATTTCATAATTATTTCTCAAATAATTAAAATAATTTCTATTCAAATAGATTTCAACAAATTAAACAAAATAACTAGTAATTGATGAGAAGAACAAAGTAACTAGTAATTATCAATAATTATTATTATTTGCATTTGTTTTTTACTATTTACTAGGATTATCGAAATAATGGTTCTGGTATAAACCGTACTTACTACTACAGTTTTAAAAATAATCAAAAGATGGAAGTAGTGGAAATATTTGTTTATAATTTTTTTATAATGCAATTAAATTTATAATTTTTTGACATATGTTTTAAGTTCTATTTAGTGATTTAATTCGGTCAAAAATTTTGTTTTTTATAGCTAGATATTAAGTTGCACATATGTAAGGTAAGTGTAGCTAATACTGACAGTGGCGGTAATACTGACATATATGAGGTTTTTTATAATTATTAAGAGATTTTCTCTATACAACATATATATATATTTTTATTTCTAGATTAATTCAAATTATCGCAATACTTCCTTTTATTTAGTTTTGAAATAACTCCAAAATATTGAACATAAATCAGTTTTGTTTCCATAGACATAGCAATGGTGGGTTGAATTGGAGAATTTCTTATACTTTTTGCTTAATTTTTCCGATTTTGTTTTTATTGCTTTTTGACTTATTTGAGGGTTAAAAATATATGTATTTATATTAAATTAAATATTTTGATTATTTTTTATCTTATTTTATAAGTAAATCGGAGTAAAAACATTAAATAAATAAGAATTTTAACAAATAATTTCTGTCAGTATTAGAAACATGTAAAATTCGACCATGCTTCTATTACTGACATATGTGTCAGTAATACGTCAAAAATCCGTATTTTTATAAATTACGTCATTTTTAAAATATGTAAATTTTTATTTTCGTATTTATTTAATTAAAATCGAATTTGAATTTTCTTTCTAATGTCCGAATTCTGACACTAAGAATTTACTACAGGTTCGGAGTATTTTACCTTTAAAAACTGGTGTCAGTAATACGATCTAATGAGGGTCAATATTATGTACAAAATTATGTCAGTATAAAGTTTTAATTTTGATATTCATTTTAGTTAATTAAAATAATTTCTTTATACTTTAAAATTGTTTAAACTATTTCAGTCAAATGAAAATCGATTACATTTGTGAAAACCTATATCTGACTACGACCTTTTTACCTTTTTAATAGTGATATTCGTCTAATAAATTGTGTATCAATATTGTATACAATACTGTCAATAAAACAGTACAATTCGGTTTCTAAAAAAATGCTTTAAAATTACTGTAAACGTTAACGCCATAACAAATATCACAACGGAAATGGTTCTCTTTAAATAAGAAAAGTAGTCCTTTTTAATAACCCAAAATGTTGTTCTAAAAATTGAGAATGGGTTGCTTTCGTTACGTACTTAATACATAAATAGTCTTTGTTAAAGCAAAAAGCAGCTTCAGAATAGGCTTATTAGCAGCTTTAGTATATATTGATCTGATTTCTTATAATTTCGTGTGATATGGTACATCATATTTTAGGTATTATTTATAAGAATACATTTGTAGCAAATATTACTTATAATACTTTATAAAACATTATGTAATTTCGAATTAGATTTTTATAAATATCTTTTAAAAATTTTTATTTATTCATTGTTGCATATTAAGACTACTAGCAAAAGTACATTCTACAGTAATAATAAATTCAAATCAGCTGAATTTCACATATTTTTACCTTTAATTCAATAAAAAATATGTTTTTTATTTTTGTTTGAATTATAATATGATAAATTTTTAATTTTTTTTTTAAATAAAATGAAATATCCGTAGAAATCTAAATTATTATTCCATTTTTATTTAATATTATCATTTTAACCATTTTAACCATTATTCATATATAGAATATAGATTACAGCATATGAAATTACATTGTCAGTATTAGGAACACAAACTGTCAGTAATAGACACAAACATTTGCGGTTATGTCAATATTAGGAACATTTTTGCTTTTCATTTTTAATCGAAAAATTATGAATTAAAAAATATTTTGATTAAATAATTTTATAAAAAACATTATTCTCAATTATCCAAATTATTCAAAAAATCGGAAACACGATCATTTATTGTGTCCCACATATAAAATGTCTCACGCCAAAGTTGAATTTGTTGCGAAGTATGTCAGTAATAGGGACACTTACCTTATATGTATATATACACATTTAATTTAAAATATGTTTATCTAATAAGATTTTACGCACAATACATTTTACAATTGTTGCATTATTAATTAAAGTTAAGTTGAGATTTATGAAAATTATTAATAATTGATGTACTATAAGTGATTCGGCTTAAGAATCATTCATGCCTAATAATGTTATGTTCATATATATCTTATTTATGCCAATATAGCATTGCCATCTAAAACTAATACAACAACATACAACATGCGTTTTTTATTATTTAAAGCAAAGTCTTCCGAAAATATGAATAGAAATTAAATTTCTACCTTTAATTTGGTCTACTAAATAATTTACAAATTGTGGCTCACTTTCAATATTCATTGAAAGTTTGTCATTTTTTTATGCAAAAATTTGAAGCCATCTACTGGAATTAACTACTAATTAACTACTATAACGTATTTTAGTTAGGAATACTTTCCCGTTTGAGTATTTACTATTTGAGAGGATATAGTTCAGCCCCAGAATGTTATTATGTATATTTAAAGTGTTATACATACGCTTTTAAATGGAACACTATAAATAATACGAAAATATTAAACAAAATATATAAGTAGGTATGTACATATATTTTTTGCATAAAAAATAATAAAAAACAACGGCAAGATTTCATTTATTAATGAATCAAGAAACTTCTTCAATAACATGTTAAATCCGGTTCTCATATCCTATAAATTTTAAATATATCTAATTATTTTAGTTATTATTTTTTTTTTTGTTCACATAATACTAAAATAAATGGCAAGTTGGTAACATAAAAAAAAAAAACACAAAATGTTAAATACAATATGTCAATCTTTAACATTGTATGACAACAATATATTTAAATATATACAGGATGCCGCCTCCCTATAACATGTCGGGGCATAAAAAAAAAATAAGGTTATAAAATATTTTTAAAATCTATGTTAAATTTATATATATTTCCATTGTAATATATTACACATACATATATATATATAAATATATATATTAATTATGTACATGAATTTTGTATATATGTACTTATAACGTGATAATCTGCAAGTAAATATTCGTATAGACTACAAAAAAAAAAAAAATAAAACAAAAATATAACATTGTAATTTTCTATTTTCTATAAGTATGCTATTTCTCTACTATCATCCTACGCGCATTTTCATTTATTTGTAATAAAATCATATTATGTAGTAGAGAGTATACGATATAACAGTAAACATATTATACATACATATATGTACATATAGCAACAAGATAATGAGAACCTCTATATAGTTATAATAATAACATTTTGTAAAACACAAAAATTTATCGATTTTTCAAGCAAAATGAATAATAATAAGAAGAAGAAAAATTCATGTAATTTGTAAAATATTATAGGAAACAAAAATCATTTCTATGTCTGTATGCTGATACGTCAGAATTCTATACTTTATTTGAATATTTAGAAGGTTAAAATATGCTCAAAAATTTTTTAGTTCTAATTTCATGTTTAATTTTTAAAGTTATAAAAATATTGAATATTCTACATTGAATTTTTGTGAATTTTATAGAAAATTTTATTTTTTAAATTTTCATTTCTTTAGAAAAAAATTTGATTTGATTTTCTTATTTTTTCTAATTTTTATTATAATATTTTTCTAATTTATATGTTAATAAGGGTATTAACTTAAAACAAAACAGAAAAAAGAAGAAATGAAAAAAATTGTCCTTTATATTATAAAATTAATACCCCCTATTGTTTTGTTTGATTTTTTTTTTTCTTACTGTTTTTCGCCTATATTTTATAACAAAAATCATGACTCTTACTGAATTAATATTAACAATAGGATAAAAATTAAAATAATACAAAATAACAAAAATAATAAAGGAATTATTTCTATTATACCTATATATATATTTTTTACCTGTGATATTGAAAAACCATCAGGATTCATTGTTGGCATTATATATATATCAGTTGTATCAATTAATTTTGTAACATCTGGTATTTTACCATCATTAAATAATAAATATTCAGTTAAATATATTAACATTTCACGGCCAATTGTTTCATCACCATGCATATTTGCAATATATTTAATCATTGGTATTAATAAATTTCTTTTATTAATATTACGACTTATTTTTAATACCAATAAATTTTGTCCTTGTAATGATCTACCAATAACAAATAATTTAGCAATATCTGGAAAATATTTTTCCAATCTTGTAAATAAATCTTCAATTTCATTTTGACTACGATAATGTGGATCATTTAAAAATGATTCATCCTCTTTTAATATATAACCATTTATTAATGAAATATTTAAAATAATATTTAATGTAATTAATAAATAAAAAGTTAAATTTAAAAAATTAATTGAATTTTTTGAACTCATTCTTTTGTTTTGTTTAACAATTCTTTTAAACTTTTATTTTTTTAATTAAAAAAAAAAAAAAAAACTTTTTCTTTCTCCTTTTTTTTTTTTATATTTTTTTTTTTTTTTTTTTGTAACTTTTGCCTTCTTTTCGCCTTGAAATTTTTTTTTTTATTTTCTTCCTTTCTTTTTCGTTGATTTTCACAAAATTTTGTTGATTTTTATTTTTCTTCCCTTTTAATTATGTAAAATTATTTTAAAATTTCTTCCTTTTTATTTTAATTAAATAAATTTAATTGTAACTTTTTTAATAAAATTCAAAATTAGAGGAAAATTTTTTGTTCAATTATTTTGTTGTGTTAAAAAAATTAAAAATTTTTTAAATTTTATTTTTTTTGTAAAAAAAAATTTGATTTTTGTTTAAATTTTGAAAATAACTTGGAATGAGAAAAAAAAAATTTGTTGTTGTTTTTTTTTTTTTTTTTAAATATTTACAAAAAAAATTCTTTTCGATGCGACTTTTTTCATGTTTTCTCTTTTATTAAAAAGTCCTGAATGAAAAATAAAATCTCATTAAAGAAAATGGAAAAAAAAAAAGAATTTTTCATGTATGAAAAAAAATTTTCATGAAAATTTAGAAAAGCTTTTTGTTTTTTCTTTACATTGAGATTTTTCTTATTTTCTTTTTGTTTTTGAAATTGAAAATAAAAGCTTTCATTTTATTAACCCTATTAGGATATGTTTTAATTTTTGTATATCAAATAAGTAGCCTACATTAAACTAAAAAACACAATTATATGAAGGTACGTACCTCTTGTCATAACATTACCAATTTACATAAATCTTATATAAAGAAATAATAATTAAGATATGAGCAGTTGTAAACACATTTTATACGGTAGATGGCTTTATATTTTTATGATATGGAAATATACATAATATTCTTTTCTATAAGTATATATATATACGAATGTTAAAACATATTCATGTTGTATTAAGTAAAATTTAATAAATTATAAAATTAAAAAAATTTTACAAGAATAAGCTAAATTAAAACTTTTCAAAAGAATGTCATTTAAATTTGATTTGCGCTACTGCAAACCGCACAGAATTATTCCGTATGAAGTGAAAACAGAACAAGAGCGATTTTCTTTAATTCTGCAGCGAATTGTCAGAGTTCATATAAAATATACACATATACATATAAAATGGAACTGTCCGGAATCGATTCCTATTCTAATTATAATTCGTCGGCGGTTTTTTTAACATTAACTGTTTTCATATCAGTTTGACACTATATACAAAATAACGAAAAACGTTCGCCGTTGACGTTTACCGCATTGGTTACGTTTTAACAATTACACATAGTATTTAAATAACATACAGTGTATTTTTGTCATACATAAAAATATTCTTGCTCATCAACAGGTTAATTAAAACTCATACAATTTTTTTTTTCTCTTTTTTCTTTTTTGAATCTCTTCATTGTTTAGAGAGGAGAGAATTTATTTTTTTTTTGTTTACTTACAAAAAGTTTTTTTTTTTTGTGTTCTTTATAAACTGTATAATAGTGTATGTATAGTGTATGTAGTGTGGAAATAATGCAAAAAAAAAAAGGAAAAATGAAAAACCCATAACTAAAAGAAAAAAAAAAATTTAAATGAACTTCCTTGCCAACATTTTTTTTTTCTTTCCTTCCCGTTTATTTTCGTTCGTTCTTATTTTTTTTTTTGGTAAATATTATATTACAATTTTTATTTAGATTGATATTGATAACATTTTGTATAAGTAACTAGTTAGTCCAAATTGAAAAGTTATAATGCTTATAATATTAAAAAAGAAGAACAAAAAAAAAAAAAAAACAAAATTCTAAAAAATTGATTCATTATTAAAATAATAATTTGTAAATGAATATAATGTATGTATGTATATTACACATATGCCACATACTTAATATGCAAATATGTACGTACGTAAATACTTATTTGGGTTAGCCTAGCTGCCCTATACAGATGCATATATGATTATATAGAAAATTTTTTAACCCTAATTTATAAATGTAAAATATGAGGGTAACTTTATTTTGAATCAGTTTTATATTTTTTAATTTTTTCTCTTTTTCACCTGCATATCAAGGTATTTAATTGAATATGTACTGCGTTGTACTTGTAATGTTATATGTAACCTTAATACAAAAAAATATTTAGCAAGAAAATATGTAGGTATATTGAATAGTTTAAATTCTAGGCCAAAAATATAGAAAATATTATATTATAATAGATTCGTAAGAAAGAAATGAACCTGAGTGAGGCATACTCTGTTACTTATAGGGTCAATTGTATTCCATCTTGTTCGTACATCATTTTGCACATATGCTTTGCATGTATGGTCACTCAACTAACGGACAAAAAAAATTTTTGAGATTTGCACTAAAGTCTTCTGCCTTGGGAAGACCCCATCATCCTCCCTTCCTTATGAACACAGTCTCAAATTAGTTCATTTAAATCACTTTAGTGAAAGACGAGATGTCGTGCGAGTATTTTATTCATTTTTCATCTTATGAAATCTGGCTTAATGTATCTTCGCATTTCAAATAAAATTGTTGCTATAACTCTAACTTGACGTCTCGTTCCTCCGATATTTATGTGCTTTCTTTTCGTAGGATCAATTATGGTAGGCATGAAAATGTAAGTAGAATGCTAAGGTTTACATGTTACAAATATAAATCATTTCGTTAATTTATAAACCAATATATTTGAACATGCACATACGTAAATATATAATTTTAAAAATTCAAAGTAAAATTTAAAATTATTACAATATTCACGTACTCGTCTATTAGAATTTCTGATTAATTGATTTAAAATAAAAAAAATTTTTAAAAATTTTATTTGAAAATTAATTAATAATTTTTTTTTTATTATTAAAATTCAATTTGCATTCAATGCGAAATTCTTTTTAACACTATTGGTATACACAATGTGTAGACAACTTTTCTTGCCATGAAACAAATACGATATTTACTTAATAATTTAAAATTTTTATAAAATAAAATTTTATCGATTTACTTACACCCATACTTATATTATTTAACTTATTTATTAAAAGAATAAAGAAAACATTCTTAAACGATTTATTTAAAAAAAAAATATTTTTTTTATTTACCACATTATTTGTAACTTTCCATTTAATTTAACAAGCAAGGTTAAAATTTATTTATTATAAAAATGTGCATTAGATTACTTGAGATAATTAAGGAGAATTTTATTAAAAATTAAAATTGGATCAAACAAATGGTTTTGTAAATTAGCACATTTCAACAAGTAAAACTACTGCTTTTGAAAAAGAATTTATTTACTTTTATTCATTAAAATATTTCAAATTATTGCATACATTTACGATGAAACCAAATATAATTGAAAGAGGGTTGAACATAATGGTCGAATTCAAGAGTTACATAATTACGCGGTTTAAATTCTAGAGGCTTTCAGATCTACAGGGTTTCAGAGACGATTTTGTCATTTCCAAGCTCGACTATAAGTACTAAGCCACACTAAAAGAAGCCAGTCATTACTTTTCTGTGTTTACCGAATTTAAAAAATGTTTGTGGTTTTGTTACAATAAAGAGTCAAAAAAGTGCATTTAGGGGCGATAACTTTTAGTTATAACCCCTACACGCTACGGAAAGTTTCTATTAAAAATATATTTATATAAAAAATTTTAACTTTCTACGGATCTTCTCCTACGAACAGGCAAAATGAAACTAATAAGAATTTTTTTTTTTTAATTTTTTTGGAAAAGTGCTAAAAATATTATTAAAGAAAAATAATATGATGGGGTTGCCATAATAAATTTTCAAATTTCCTTTTCACAATTAAATGCTTTAGGCGGCATTCAATTTTCATTATAAGACACAGGAGATAGAAAGAGAGATTGAATTAAAAAGATGAGAAATTTTGTTATATATGCACATACAGTGTATAATATATATATATTATATAATATAGAGTTCAATATGTCGGATCAACGGTAAAAAACCAATTCAATATTTCTGTTACATAAAATGCCCTTATTAATTTTATTAGAATTAAATTTGTTTGCAAAATTATATCACGTAACTGTTGTTTTTTTTTAATTAAAAAATAATAATAATTTTTGTTATTTTTATATATGTATGTACATTAGTGAATTGTACAATAAAAACATGACAAATGATGTTTTACTTATTATAACAAAAAAAAAATTTTTATGGTAACGATATTTTCATATTCAATTAAATTTTCTGCAAAATGACAATTATTTCATATTTGATCAAATCAAAAATAATTATTGTTGAATCAAAGAAATTATTTTTTTGTTCCCTAGTCAAAATCTATGAAGTTAAAATAATAGTATAATATATAAGGGTCTTTCAAAAATCACACCTGTGATGGTGTTTTAAAATAGAAAATACAAAAAATTTTAATTTTTAAATATTTTACTATATTTTTAATAAAAAATATGGTCCATTTGAAAAGGAAAGGCAAGGCGGAGGGCGAGATCTGTCGTCTCTGCCTTAAAGAGGAAGAATGGGGCGGTGCACTTATTGTGTTGGCGCAGCAGTTATTGAATGGGAGGCAATGGTTCACCTACTACTGGAGATGTTTCCGAAAGGGTTTTATGGCTCCAATGTAGTTCTTGCGGCTTGGTGGGGCGCACTATACAGCAATTTTTAATGTTGTTTTTACTGTTCTTTTTCTTCGTAGTCGTAATACTGCTGTAAATACGAATATTTCCTCCTTAAATGGAATTGCTTATATGTTTGAGTTTACATTTGGTGGTACAAAATATAAGTACATACACATATATATACAAAATAAAAATTTGTTCCGCTTTTAATAAGATGATGAATAATTTTTCTGAGTAAATTGAAAATAGAATTTTACTTATACAATAAAATCCGATTTATTTATTTATCAAGGATTTTTTTTTTTTGTTATGCATTTTTTTCTTTAAAATTTTTGGAAATCGGAAATTATTTACAAAAAAAAAAATTGTATTTTCTTACTCTTTATTTGAATTTTAAAGAGTTTTAAATAAAACAAATTCAAATTATTCAAAATAAATAAAATCTTAATAATAGATTTTTTTTTGTGTTTCAATTATTTTATTTAAAAAAGATTTCTATATAGTACAAAAGAGGCAACAATTCGTACATATACATATATAATTGTATAGAGCAGAACATTTGTGTTATACCATGAACATACAACAATTAAATATCAATTTGTATGTACCTAACTTACAGCAGAATATCTATTAAACGAATACTCCTATCATTTTATTATAAATAACACTTAATCAAATTTGAATGTTCATTATATAGAAGTTTCACTGCATTCTAAAAAAAAATTTATAATTGTCAATTATTATTAAATTAAATTAAGAACCTATTTCATTTCTTTTATTTTTATCTTTACC